GCTGCCAGCCTCTCCCCGGTCCTGTCCCCGTAGCTTTGCGGGCCCCTGACCCTGTCCCGCTTGGCAGGGGGCATCACGGCCGAGGCGATGATGGGCATCCTCAGGGACCAGCAGAGGGGCATCTGCATGGACTCCGGGGGCTTCCGCACCACGGCCAGCATGGTGTCCGTCCTGCCGCGGGGCCCCAGAGGCGGGGTCTGCGGGGCAGGGGTCGCGAGGGACGTAGATGGCCGTCCTCCATCCCTCCATCTGCGCCCCCTCAGGTCCGTGTTCAAACCTTTCATCTTCGGGGCGGGGGCGGCCCAGGCCCCCCAGGTGCTGTCCCCCACCTTTGGAGCACAGGACCCCGTCCGGACCGCGCCCCGCTTCCAGACTCGGGTGGATCGCCGGCACGCTCTCTACCGCGGACACCAGGAGGCCCTGGGGCTGATGGAGCGGGAGAAGGTGACCCCAGGGAGCAGGGCCTCTTGGGGGGACCGCTCATGGCCCCCACGCCCCGCTGGGTTCTGGGAATATGGGGGGGCTGGGAGTGGAGAGGCTCCAGGCTGGGGAGAGGGCTCTCTCCCTTCAGAGCCAGCTGCCCAGGAGCATGTGGGGTCCTTTGTCCCTTCCTCCCGCTGGGAGACCAAAGAGGACATGTCCCCCTTCATGGGGGGCGAAGCCTGCACTGGGACTCATCTCTGCCTCTCCCGGCAGGACCTGGGGCAGCAGCTGCGGCAGAAGCAGCGGGATCTGGAGCAGGAAGGCCTGGAGGCTGTGAGGGGGCTGCTGGCCGGGGCGGGGGCCCCACCCCCCCAGGAGCTGGGTGGCCTCTTCCAGGCCTTTGTGGAGAGGGAGAGCCAGGTGTACGCCTGAGCGCCACAGCTCCTCCTGGCCTGGCCTGGGGCGCGGGGCTGGGGGTGGGCCTGGACCCCAGGGGCAGTGGGATCTGAGCAGGTCCTTCACGCCCCTTGTTCCGACTGGCTGGCTCAGCCTCGTCTTCATAAATATGTTTTATTTCTTATGTGTTTTGCTGATTTTCCCTCGAGCTGCCCCCAGTGACGTGAACACGTTCAGGGCCTGGAGACACTTTATTGGGACAGGCTCCCGCCACAGGGGGGCTCTGGGAGGGGGTCTCCCCTTGTTCTCCCCCAGCCCTCCTTCCCATGGCTTCGCCGACAGCCGAGGGCTGTACTTCACTTCTTGATTCTCCTGGTCATGGTTTTGGTTGTGCTGGGGGCCCCAGCCAGGGCGGTCTTGGGGGCTGCAGCTGCTCTGACCCCCCTCCTTGCCTGCAGGGTGCTTTGGGGGCCCCTGGAAACCAGGGGGCACAGCTTCTTGGTGGCAGAGGAGGCTTGTGGCAAGAAGGCAGGCTCCGGGGGTGGCTCCTTCCCCTGCTGGGGGGTGACAGCGGAGGGGCGGTCCCCATCCATGGGCCTCCCGGGCAGCTGGGGCAGCTCCGTGAGGACGGGCTGGGTCTCTAGCCTCAGCTGGTGCTCCACCTGGGCTGCCTGCTGCCTGTGCGCCTGGTGCCTGCTCCTGTCCTGCTCCAGCTCCTGGAGGAAGCCTGTGAGGGCCAGGACGGGGTGTCGGATGCAGCTGCCAAACAATTTTCTACCCACCCTCCCCGTCCCACAGCAATGTATGAGAATTTCAGGTGTTCCACATTTTCATCAACATGTAGTGTCGTCAGCTTCCTGAATCTAACCGTTCTAGTGGGTATGTGGTGATATTTCTTGGTGATTTAAACTTCCATTCTCTCATCCTGGCCAGTGTGGCTCAGTGAATTGGAGTGTCCTGTACATCGAAAGGTTGTGGGTTCCGCCAGAACCGGTTTGGCTCAGTGGATAGAGCGTCGGCCTGCAAACTCAAGGGGCCTGGGGTCCAGGAGGCCGTGCACGTGATCACAGGCTTGCTGGAGCGCTACGGGCAGGGGGGCAGCTGCCGGGAGGACCCCACGCCATTCTGCTACCACAACACCTTCCTGCTGGCTGACAGAACCGAGGCCTGGGTGCTGGAGACGGCGGGGCAGCTGTGGGCCGCACAGAGGATCCAGGGTGAGGGGCTGGTGCTGGGGCCTGCCTTTACCAGCCTTGGGAGGGGGTGGGAGAGGTGGTGGCTGCAGGGAAGGGCCGATCCAGGTGCAGGCCTCTCAGGTGGCGGGGTTAAGTCCTCTTGTGCTCCAGCCTGCTGCTTCCTCCGAGGAGCCTTCCTGGACTCCCTGCTGGCCAGGTTTCCCCCTTATATCAGGTTTCCCTCTGGCTGACCTGGGGAGGGTGCCTCTTCATCACACTCACCACAGATGGCAGACTCACAGTTCTTTCTGTGATTGTTCTGTCTCCCTCTTCACCCCTGTTCTCAGCACCCAGCCGAGCCCCTGGCACAGAGTAGGACTCAGCGATGGCGAACCTGTGACACACGTGTCAGAGGTGACACGCGAACTCATTTTTTTGGTTGATTTTTCTTTGTTCAATGGCATTTAAATATATAAAATAAATATCAAAAATATGTCTTTGTTTTACTATGGTTGCAAAGATCAAAAAATTTCTATACGTGACACAG